GAAAACAAATGTGTTTTGTTGCACTCTGTACACAGCCCGTGTACCCATCGCACTCAGAGCCGCTGCTCCAAAAATGAAGGGTGGGTGCAGCAGCCGTCAGCGAGTGGCTTCCGACAAAATATCAGTAAAAGGATGGACACCGGCACTCCAAAGCAAGTTCCGTACATGTTTATTAACATACTAGTTGCAAGTAGAACACTCTAAACATGGTTTTGGGGTCTCACTGGATCCCCTTCATCAGGCAAACAAGTGATAATCACTTATTTGCCTGATGAAGGGGATCCTGCGAGACCCACGACACCTTGTTTAGAGTGTTCTACTTGCAACTAGTATGTTAATAAACACGTACGGAACTTGCTTCGTTGCACTCTGTGTCACCCCTGGACAGACTTTTTATCACATTTTTTACGGGCAGTAAGAGAGGGAAAATCTCCCCAACTGCACACATGCTGCACTAAAAACCTGACAAGAACTTTATGACTTCTTTAAGGATTTGGCTTTAAATCATGGTTATCCAGGAGAAATAGTGACAAGTGCTATCATTACATACCATGTGCATAACTCTGGCTATATTTGCATAATGGCTTCTTCGGTTCTCTCACCCATTAGAGCTGAGCAATGACTGATTTGATGCAAATCGAATGTTTTTTTTCTCTTATTACATCTTAATATGTCTAAAGGACATTTTACAATGGGATTGTATAGTGTGTGGTCAGCTTTACATTCAAGTAAAAATGTAATGTGATGGTATATTCTCTAGGACAGTGACTATTACACAGCACTCGGTTTGTTTTAAGGCCACATGACGATATATTCATTTTTTTAAATAATAATTTAGATTTCTATAGCGCTTTTCTCCATGGGGATGGTGAAATATCCCACTAGGGCCAATTACATAGGAGTCAATGAACCTACCAGCATGTCTTTGGAGTGTCGGAGGAATGCACAGGGAGAGCAAGCCTGTACAAATACTGAGGGGAATGTATTAAAACTGGAGCAGAGAATAACTGGAGCAGCTGTGCATGCCAACCAATCTGCTTCTCTCTTTCATTTTCAAATCTTAACTGAACAAAGTGAAGAGAAAAGCTGATTGGTTGCCCTGGGCAACTGCTCCAGATTTTCTCTGCTCCACTTTAGATAAATTCCCCCCATTGTATATGTGGTCTACAAGACTCATGGTGGAGTTTAAAATAAAAAAAACCCCAGCACCAGTGTGTAGTTATTCCTCCTCTGAACACATCTGAATCAGGAACAGAAGCTTCTACTCCCATAAACCCAAGGTGCTTCATGTATCAATCATGGATGATGCAATGGTTGGCTTCTCTTCTACATAGGGAAAGAGGTACACTTTTTGTCACACATTATCTAGGCTATGAACACATCCATGGCTCCATTTCCCCACCCCCAATCATAGGGACAATGAAAAAAATAAAAGCACAATAAATCAAGCATTTAAAAAAAATCTTTTTATAATATGCAGGTTGTCATTACGTCCTCAAGAAATAAGAATAAAATAATTTCTAACAGTATCTGACCCCCTTTTATCCCAATATGTTGGTTTACAGCACAGGTTACATAAAGCATAGCAGGGAGGCTGCAATTGCATCATGGGGAATAAAAAAAATCAGACCTGCTCAGTTATGACATGCTGATGATGGCCACTAGGGACGAGCGAAATTCAGTTTACCTAACTAAAATGTTGACAAAAAGTTGGGACATTTCGGTTAAATTTTGGTAAAATACATTGGAGTCAACAGGGAAACTGGTAATTTTAGCGGCAAAACACATTTTGGCAAAATTGCTCCATCCATCCCTATTGCCCACCCAGAAGACTTGTCTTTTAATTATTTCATAATTATTCCCAATTTATTTCCACAGCGGCTGCTCTTTAGTCCACGGTAAGGGTTATCTTTCGGAAATGGCATTGGGGTTATGTTATGCGATCCGTTGAAATGCAGCTAGTGCTCAGCGCAGTTCTTGCTAGCCGCTCATTAAATGTACATTACAGGTCCTGGAAGTCTATACATTATTGCATACTTATGTGGCACGGAAAATGATACGTGTACATTAGAACAGGGGTGGGGCAGGGGGGGGCGGGGGGGGAGGTTAAATCTGATTTGGATTTCGGAGCACAGTAAACAGAGTAGATCGGCCAGTGTGAGTAATTCATTAAACATTGACATTGGCTAATGACCGTGAGTGCATTTGCTCAGTCATTCTATATATATATACAGTATATATTTATCACAGAGCCGGCCCTATGAAACAGGTAGGGATAGAGAGGTAGAAGATTTATGGTCTCAATAAATACATTTCATTGGAATTGTCTAATGAGGCAAGGCAAAGTATTTTTGGTCTCCATCCTATTCTACAAGGCCATAACAAGTGCCACAGGGAGACTTTCCAATAGTTTTATGTTATGAAGGGTGTACTGGGATTGAGGGGTGTTGCATGCATTGCCATTTGGCACCGTCTATTGGATAGAATGCTCATATCTCACTTCCAATATAAGAACCTAGCATCAAAGCATATTACCTACCTGTAAAGAAGGTATAGATTACTTTTCTTGCTGTCCCTACCACTCCAATCCTGAGATAAGGGTTGGAAACCAACCCTTCAGAAAGCATTGATCTCCTGAGTCAGGGGTTCCTCCTGCTGACCCCCACTCATTACAGGACACAATAGTGACATGGAGGAAGCAATGACAGCTGCAGGGGACCCAGGAGATTGACAATCATGGAAGTGTCTCCCAGTGGACTTCGGGGGATAATTGGCCAATGTAGAAAATGGAATTCAGCAATGGGAGGCAGGAAAGATAAGTATTCACTTTGTTCTTTATAGGTATGTGGTCTTCTCAAACTTTTCACTTAAGCGACATCATCTATAAAATGAATTTTTGTGACAGTAAGCTATGAACTAGAAGAGCCTTTCACCTAGAACTAATATATTTGTGTTTAAGACACTGGAAAGTTAAACCCCCCTGAAAGTCTCTTCTATTTCTTGGAAACGTTATTGGATCTCGGGTCTACACACTTGCTGTACCCATCATAAGGGTCCCTCACCCTCCTTGTGCTGAGTTCCCAGGTCTGTACACCTGCTGTGCCCATTGAGGGGCTCCCACCATCCCTGTGCTGAGTTCCTGGGTTTGCACCCCTGCTGTGCCCATTATGAGGGGCTCCCACCATCCCCGATGGATGTATATATTTATTTTATATTATAGAGAATGTAAAAGGAGGAGTGGGAACATAGGTGGGCCAGAACACCCCACACTCCCAAATACAGAACCATGAATAATAGCAGATAGATCTCACAGTTGAAGTAGCCGAAAGATATATTCAAGCTGCCCCTGACATCTTATAATTGGTCCACTTATAGCTAAAACATCACTTTTGGGGTAGACTGGCCCTGTAACACTGCCAGAAAGGGAAGAATGTTACCTACATCAAGCAGTCAGATTCTAGATTTCAATTGACAGCTATGCCAAGTTCTTATCAGGCTGCCTTATAATTTGATATTTTGAATAGTGACTGTCAGTTTGCTGCACAGAAATAAAGTATGAGCATGGCAGCCATAATTTTACATAGGGGAGGTTAGCCTTTGCAGTCTGCACACTTGTCTCCTGACAGGTCTCTTCTAGGAGAATGAAATATTTCAACAGTTATCAACCAGATCAAGTGACAATCTCATACTGATGAGTAACAACAGACATTATTGAGGATAAGTCATTGGCCAGGTTGGAAAACCTGACATACCAACGCTAAAGGAGTCTGCATGTGTCTCCCCTGACAAAAACATGGATGCTAGGCTGAACATTCATGTCGGCCGTCAGAGGGGGTAGTTTAGAGCCTGCATGTGCAACTGCCCTGTTAGATCTATGGCTATGTTTCAGTGGTAACCTCCATGCAATTAGTCTTACCAAGGCAAGCCAACCACAATGAATAATGAAAACCATGCTGCACTGGTCTTTTTTGACTGCCTTTCAAGTTGTCTCCTGACTGCCTGGTTCATAAACTATATCAAAAGGGGAGGGGAGCCAAAGCTATGAGATAGAGACAGGGACTGTCCTCCTGTCTTACTGTAGAAATAATCTCAATAATCCCAAAAGTAACAGTTGCATCTTGCTCATAGGTTTGTCAGTTTGCTGCATGTCTATTTTCCATAGACCAGTCATTGTCATGTTGGGTCTATGGGTACCCTTATAGTGACTCTGTATTTTAATAATTTAAGGCAAAGTTAGGGGTCCTCTTTAAAAGCAGGAAGGGAAAGGAGCACATACTGTTGCCCACTGAAGCTGGAGAAAAAACCCCAATATGGAGATGCAGAAGGTTCTATGTTTTTTGTCTCTCCATAGTGCATCACTTATTGGATAAATAGCCAATCACCAGTCCTGGGCTCAATGTTGGGTCAGGGCTTACATTGTCAATGGCAAGTGGCCATTGACAATGTCAAGAGAAACACATGGAAGGTAAAACATGCTCGTTACCCTTCTTGCTCTAAGACCAACCTGTTGATTTTCCTGGAATGGTCAAAAGTAGTTGTGCTTTAAAGGCAATAACCTCCATAATCAACCTTGGACAGTGGCCTACCCTGTGTATCACTCTGCATAGGAGATCATCTAAATGCGACCTACCATAAGGGTTCCCTGAACATTGGTTTACCCAATTAATACTGCTGATCAGTCAGTTCTGGAATATCCAATACTCTTAGAGGTTCCAAAATGCCACAAGTCCAAGGGCAGAGGTAAATGTCGCCATGGTGTTGCTGTTGACAGGGAAGCTCTTAATTCCCCTCGCAGAGCCTCTCAGAAGCCATATTGTCATTTTTCATTGGCCCGTTTCAGTGACTGGTCCATGTTCTAAAACATCACTTATTTTGCTTTGTGAGGCCCCTGGCTTATGAAACACGCAAGCTTCTATTTGTCTACACAGTCCAACTTTCCAAGCTTAGGGCACCATTAACTTATATATAAGATTGCAAGTCAGTGCACAGTGGAGCCCAAATACAGAATGTGCATATTTGCAGTGAACTTTACTGTCCAGCTCACCCCGATCACACCAGGCCTATTGGCACAGACCAGAAGTGCCAGATGGGCAGTCTGAGCCTGTTCACGGATACATTTCCCAGAGTGGCTTACATGCTTTGGCTTAGAAGATGTTTTCTGAGCTGCTGTCAGGATACTCAAAGCTGTTTTGGCGGTCGCTCAGCATGATGTGTTCAGTCGCACTGCTGCCCATCTTCTCGTTGTACCACTTGTCATTGCTGTGCTGTGACTTGCTGACCCCATTGTTGCATCCATCGACCAGGTTGTGCTTTTCGCAGATGCTACCGAGCCCAGCCCGGGGAGGTTGGCTGTACGTGTGTTTGTATTCCTCTTCGATGTCTTTCCAGAGTTTCCAGTGCTTCCATTTTTTCAGGAGCTCGGACTGAACCTGGGGGAGGACATAATGACAGACTGTTAAAAGGAGGCGTGCGGAATGAAGATGACTGCTCTGCTTTGGGATGTTGTAGTCTCCTCGCAAATCAGTCAAATTGAACTTAATCCAATGAATGTTTTCCTCATCTGCTACATTTTCACCCTCATCACCTTCTGCCTGTTTTTTTCTTTGCTTACCTTCCTGCACGCCAAGTTCTGGCTCTTTCCTTTAAGAGGTTATGCCTTGCCTGCTGTGTTCCCATTATATATCCTCTCTCTCCTTCTACTAACTGTCATTCCATCTAGTCAGCTTCTTATATCAATCGAGGGTGATCTGTTTTTCATATACCAGAGAGGAACTTCAGTCAAGGGAAATATCCTCCTTAAAGCCCATTCTTTTATTTTATCAGCTACATTTACTCCAGGTGCCCGAGTAGAAAAGCCTGTCCCTTGCCAGCATGCTGCTCTCTGCACGGGAGCAGTGGTCTCTCTGCAGAAGTCTGACATGCCTCCTGCTGAGTCAGACCTAAAACTTTCAATCAGCAAAGCTCATATTCCCTTTTGATTGTCAGACACAGGAAGGGGCATATTGAGAGACCACTGCTTGCCTACCAAGAGCAAGGGCCCTTTTTTGCAGGATGATGGGAGGAGACAGGCTTTTCTACTCATGTAGTGACTGCTTTATAAAAAAGAAAAGAACTTTACGTGTCTGTACAACTTTTGTTTTGATGAACCTGGAATGTATTTAGCAGAAAGTATATTTGGTACATTTTGAAGTAAATTTGTGTTTTGCCCGTATCTTCCTTCTCATCTACTTTTTGCCCCTCTACTGCTCCTTCGACCCAATCAAAAAGGGATGAAACACCGTGCTCCAAGTCGATCTAGTCAATCCCTAGACAGGGCTAAGGGCTCTTTCCCTGACCTCATGTGACTGCACTCGGACCCGACTCTTGGCTGCTCAGGCTTCCACTGTTGCATCACAGTGGAAAGAGGAGAAAGTCAAATGCTTCCTTATACTCAAATAGTGGGTGCTTCTCTTGGCTCCCAATGGGCAAATGGAGCAGTATGGGAGGGAAGAGAAGGTACTTTAGGGTGTGGGGAGCATGTGTGCTACCTTCATTTTTCCAGTGTGATATTACTGGTGCCTGAGTTACCCACTACCAACACATGGTGGTGGGCAGAGTCTTCAGCCCTCTGTAAGATCTGATTTGGATCAACTTGGAGCTTACACTGGGGCTGCTTATCCTTGCTTCCAATATTGTAGGAGTAAAGGGGAGTTAAGTATAAGCTGCTGTGGATGCCTTACTAAAGTGAACGTGTTGCTCTGCCCTGCAAACCCTTAATTCTAAATGACTGAGAAAAATAGAACTTGGATGGCGGCCTCAATTGCCTCTTATTAATCAAGTTGCTCTTTTCCGCACCCTTTCCTTTGCTGCAACATCCTTTTCGTGAATCGGTGCCCAAAACTAAGCAACACATTCAAGACGAGGTTTTGCTAATGCTTCGTACGGGGGCAATTCCCCTCTCAGACGCTTTGATAAGTTAATCCCCATAAACGTCCCCTTTCATTCTTTCTCAGTGTCTGGCCCAGTGACTCCCGACCTCCAATTCTTGATTTCCTCGTGTTATTCTGCACATTCTCTGCCCTTCGACCTCCAGCCTTCAGAAAGCTTCCATTAATGTTTGGCGGCGGAGTTTGGTTTACAAATGGACCTTGATTTACATGTTTTACTATAAATAAATCGGGCAGATGTTCCTCGCAGGAAGCAGAATATGAGGAAGGAGCGGCCGAAGGATGGAGAATGTCACAAGTGACAGATATTGCAGTGAAAAAAAACACACACACACACACACACATACACATATACTGTACATATACACACACACACATACAGTATAAAGGAACAAGTGATCAAGAATTCTTCCTGGTCCTTAGCTATAGGGCCCAGCAGCACAGGGTGCCAATTTAAAAGCCATGGCACTGGAAAGTTCTGATTGTGTTTTTTGAGTTGGGGTAATGTGTATTACTGCCTCACGCTGCTGTGAAAGGGCCATTATCAACCAAACTACAAAAACAAACTTTCTCAGCATTCAATTTGAGTTTCTAACATGCAATAAAAGCAGAGGTCTGTTTGTAAAGATATGTGGTAGCACCGGAATGCATCAAGTTGTCTACTGACACTGGCACTGGGATAACAATATCAAAAAGTGAGATTAGGCACTATCAATGTTTCCTGGCGTTATTGTTGCTTAGGAAAAGGTTTCACAGGTTCTCTTTGCTGGCTAGAAGGACCCCATGTTGAGGAATTTTGTACATTATTCACTGAACACCTCCTGGGGTTTAAATTGGTTGAACAGCTGCTTTTTTATGGTATATCCATGTGCCTGTATCATATACCATAGACACATACAGCTCAATCAACCTAATGTATTTATTATAGGTATCTATATAGTTGACAATTTACACAGCTTTACATAGTTGCATATTCACATCAGTCCCTGCCCTCAAAGATCTTACAATCTAAGGTCCCTATCTCCCATCTCACATACAGGGCCAATGTAGACAGGAGCCAATTAACCTACCAGCATGTCTTTTGAGTGTGGGAGGAAACCGGAGTACCCAGGAAACAAGCACAGGGAGAACATGCAAACTCCTTTGACCTGGCCAGGATTCGAACCAGGGACCCCCCAGTGTTGCAAGGCAGAAGCGCGAATGAGCTCAGAATGTATGGAATAGTCATTAAAAGGATTATATACTGTATGTTGACCTTCCTGCTCCATGAGATTTCACACATAGCTGGATGGGAGATTTCTGACAAAGCTGGACTGCCCTGGCATTTTTTCAATGCCACAAAGTGAACCCTCATTTTAAAATTGGCTAAATACATTCCAGGTTCATCAAAACAAAAAAGGTGTTCAATGTCTTCTAGCTCATTTCCTTTCTAAAGCAGCCACAGTCTGAGTAGAAAAGCCTGTCCTCTGCCAGCAGCTGCAGAGTTGAACCCTTGTTGAAGCAGTGGTCGCCCTGCCGAGGCCCAAGATACACCCCCTGCCGAGTCAGACCTATAGCTCTGCAATGATCAAAACTCATGCTCTCCTCTCATTAGACAGTTCAGACTCAGCGGGGGCATGTTGGGCCTCTGCAAGGAGATCAATGCTTCCCCAGAGTGGAATCAATGGGGAAGCAGTGATTTCTTTGCAGAGGTCCAACACTCCCCCTGCTGAGTCTGAGACTACAACGCCTTTTATTTAAGGTTTACCCAAGGCCAAAACTACTTATTGGTTGTGGAGATCGTAAGAAAGGTGTTAAAATCTCTGTTAGGTCTATATTTGTTTTGCTGTTTGTGTTCTCCAGATCCAGGATACGCAACAGGAAGTGAGAAGATATCATTCCAATGTGCAGGGAAAAGAAAACCGTCACCAGAACAGGTGGCCACATTGGGAGAGTTCTCCTCCATTCCTGTTTCGGTGACCTTGTCATGTAAAATATCACAGTACCCTGCCTTAGTACTCCTCTTAAAGGAGAACTATGGGGTTAGGGCTTTTCCCCATAGTTCTCCTTAGGGTAACGGGAGGACACAAACTAGCGTCCTTCCGTCACCCTAAGCTCAGTATACCGCGAGCTACTGCTCGCGGTATACTGAGACGCCACAGTATACCGCGAGCTACTGCTCGAGGTATACTGAGACGCCACAGCTGAAGCGGATCCCGACAATTATGTCTGGATCCACCCAGCTGCGTGAGTGACAGCTGGCTCTGCCTATCTAGAGGCAGAGCCAGCTGTACCTTCCCCCTCCCCCGTCAGTTCCGCCAGTCAGCGCTGGCGGATCGGAGCAGGGAATCCGTCCCCTCCCCTGACGCGGCAGAGAGCTGTGACAGGATCGAGAGGTGAGCGAACGCCGGTATGCGTTCGCTCACCTCCCGATCTACTGAGCCGACCTGCGACAGTCTCATTGTCACAGGTCGGCTAGAACTATGAGGTGAGTGAAGAGCACTCACCTCATAGTTCTCCTTTAAGAGCCCTCAGCTTGGAAGCAAACAGTGGGCTGGCTCTTGGAAGGAGTTATGCAAATATCAACAAGCCCTGATGAGTGGATGTCAGTCTGGAGGAGCGCAGGTTGCTACACAGACCTGCGGAGTGTCCTAGGTAACCCCACATGTGATACTGGGCCTCCATGATTGAAAGAACTAAAAATCTAATGAATGACAGGGGTGGGGCTAGGGATAGTCAGTCCGGGGAGGAAAAGACTAGATGATGCTGGACGTCCTGAAGCCAGGAAATGAGGCAGGCTCTATTTGACTCTCTGCAGCTTCTATTGCCCATTGTGAGAAGCTCTCAGTGTGCAGTGCAATCTGAGTAAGTCATTGCAGTCCAGGAGAGGAGCCGCTACATCTGTGCAAGACTGAAGGGAAAGCTGGAGCACAGCTAAACAGTTCAGAAAAATATTTTTCGCTCGGTTCATATGAAGGATCCATCACTTACCTCTTTGTTGACAAAACAGTAGAGCACAGCAACGAGCACTCCCTGCAGAGAGAAGGGAGAGTCATATCAACATTGACAGATACAGTGAAGGGAAAGGGGGGGGGGGGGGGCAAA